TTTCATGAGGGATATGGTGCATTAAACTTGTTTTTTTCATATAGAATTTTTTAATTAAACATCATCAGTTTTTATTAGGAATAATTAAAAATATTTATCTCAGTTATTATCAATCCAATTTCAATATTATCAAATATCAATTATTTCTGAGTGATACCAACTATCGAGATTGTTCGTCAATAGGAGTCCCGCGTAACCAGTCGTCGATTGTCTTAGTTAAGAATGGATATCTAGTTATAGAGGACAGATCATATCAGGCCGGCCTGACGGGAACCGCCGTCCGGCCGAGGTCATCAGAGGCCCTTCCCGGTAGAATCGTTTGATGAAAATTTTTGAGCATGTTCCTCATCAAATTTAGTTTATACATACCCAATTTCAGCTAAAAATTCAATCGGGAAGGCAGTTAAATAAATTCTCTACCAAAGCTGCGCTGTTTATGTATATATAAAGTGCAGTTTTTGTAGAGAATTTATTTGTCTGCCTTCCCGATTGAATTTTTAGCTGAAATTGGGTATGTATAAACTAAATTTGATGAGGAACATGCTCAAAAATTTTCATCAAACGATTCCACCGGGAAGGGCCTCTGATGACCTCGGCTGGACGGCAAATCCTGTCAGGCCGGCCTGACAGGATCGCTACTAGTTATAAATTTATAAGAGTTAATTATCAAAATAGGACTAAAAGTCATTCACTTTGCACAAATAGGACAAAAAAATAAACTATGTTTCCATAGGACTAATTATGTTTGTCTTGGACAAATATACCCTTATACCTATTGGAATGTTTTAATTCATAATAAAATAATAAAAAATAATAAAAATTCGTAAAATATACCAAAAAATTAATAAAAATATTCTGAATAATAATAAATTTAAAAAAAATAAAAAAAAAATAAAAAATAAAAAAAAATTAAAAAGAATTAAAAAAAAATCAAAAAAATATTTTTTTTGTCACCGCCGCCTATACCGCCCCAGCACCACCACCTCTAGTCATTTGGGGAAAAAATGCCAAATTTATTATGAATTCCATATTTTTGGCATAATTCAGAATGATTTAAGATGGAAGAAAAAAATGTTGGCATTCTCAAAGAGAAATATGCCATATTTTTGGCATTTTCCGAAAAAAAAAATGGAAGTTTGTAGGAAATATGACATTTTTTTTAACGGTCGGAGGTGGTGGTGCAGGGAGGCGGTACCACCACCTCCTGTCACCGGGGTAAAAAAATGCCAAAAAAATTATGAATGCCATATTTTTGACAAAAGTCAAAAGGATTCAAGTTGGCAGAATGAAAATGTTGGCATTCTCATAGAGAAATATGCCATTTTTGTGGAATTTAAAAAAAAAGTGGCATTTTTTACACCGATCAGAGGTGGTGGTTCAGGGAGGTAGTACAGGCGGTGGGAAACGTATCCATATTTTTTTTAATTTTTTTATGGAGTTTTACTATTTTTTTATTAATTTTTAAAATAAAAAAAAATAAATTTTTTTTCTTATTTTTTATTTTATAAAAATTTTATTAATTTTTTTATTATTTTTCTACGAATTATTAAAATTTTTTCGAATTTATTATGAATTAAACATTTAATTATGACTTTTAGCTATCTTTTACTAATATTTAAAGGAGGGGTAAGAATGGAAGGAAGAAATGAGTATGTTTCCAATAGGACCACTATGGTCCTATTTTGAAAAAAAAAACATAACAAGTCCTATTTTGAGTTTTTGCCATAGTTTTAGTCCTATTTGAAGTAATTTCTAAATTTATAATAATACTACGTATTTTTTTAATGACAAAATATCATTATGACTAGATATCCTTTCTAGTTATACCATTTATATTTATTGACTTGCAATATTTTTAGAGAAAAATATTATTTCATGGACCACTTTTCTTTTCTTAATTTTTTTTCATTATTTATAAGAACCCTCATTTGTTTTCCTTTTCATCTTTTATTTCATACTTTTTCATTTTTCTGACATTTACAATCTATATTATATCACTTTTAAGCTCACCAAAAGCTCTATAGTTTCAAGTAATTAATAAACGCAGGGGTATAATATTTTATCAAAATCAACTTTTATAAAGTTGCCAAAACCTACAAGGCCTTACCATTAACATCAAACATTAAACTATCAGCAATATCAGACTCGTAATTTTTATTTCCGTAATGGTAATTTATAGACCAAAATAGTACTCCGTATATAATAGAGAGAAGAGAAAGAATTCGAAAATAATTGATTGCAAAAATGGTAAGTTCATTATAAAAATAAGATTGCATTATATATTAAATAAATAATTATTTTCAAAAAAAATTAAATAAATAATTGTCTTTCTAAAAACTTTGAAGCATTTTAATTCAAAATCTCAATTCACTTCATGGTTTTGAAAAAATCTGGATAAAGAAAATGAAGAATAAATCATAAATTGGTTAAGAACTTAAAATATATAGATTTAGAAAAATGAAAAACAATAATTTTTTTACTTAGAATAAACAAAAACATTTTAATTTATATAAAACATTGGTACATTTGTGGCATTTCTTTAAGTTATTTTAAAAATCTTATAAACAGATTTAATTAAAAAAAATGTATGCATTTTTTTATAATTCAGATGTCAATGCTTGCGCCATAATCCCAAAGTTTTATGAACAACACTCCAAAGAACTAATGCAGCAATGCAGCAAGACTTAACAACACTTGTAATTAGAATGTTCATCCCACCACACGAATCCGCTACCTCCACTATCAACATCTCACTCATATGTCCCAGAGCTATTCCGTGAATGTAGGAAACTCATTGGGAACAAGACATCCAAGGGTGGAGATGGGGTCTCGACCCCCAAAAGGATTTTTTTTATGTATATACATATGTATAAATATTTGTAGTCGGTATAAAAATAATGAAATTTTAAGATTAGACCACTACAACATAAAGTTTTTAAATTTGGTCCCCTTGACCTACCATCTCTGACTCAGACTTTAAAGACACCCCTCATTTTCCATTATGAGAACGGATCTCAAGACCTTTCATAAAAGGGAGACTTATGGGTTGAATGACCAATCAAGTGAGCCACATAACATCCTTTTGTTACCAATACATCCTTTTTTATTTGGAAAAATTGACAAGAATAATCTCACTTTTCACTAGTCTTCTCATAATAATCACACATTTACATAATCCCAAAATAATCACACCTTTGCACCCCATCATCTTTTATTGGATCCTGACCAGGTTTTTTTACCTTTCTTTGAAAATCTTATATAAATAATCTCACATTTATAATGATATAATAAAAATGTGAAAGGTGAGATTATTTATATGATTTTCAAATAAAGTTTAAAAACCTGGTCAGGATCCAATAAAAGAAGATTATGGGGTGCAAAGGTGGGATTATTATGAGATTATGTAAAGGTGAGATTATTATGAGAAGACCAGTGAAAGGTGAGATTATTCTTGTTAATTTTTCCCTTTTCTTTTTTACTAGCTGTGTTCTTTGATGGTCGAAGAGACAAAAAGAATCACCTTGCTAAAAGTTTCCAATAAAGCGACGTCATATTTCATGATTAAAATTAGGGGTGGGCAAACGGGTACTGGAACCGCGAGTCGGGCCGGGTAATACAGGTTCGGGACGGGTTAGGGTCGGGTCGTAATGTTAGAAAATTCAAACGGTTCGGGGCGGGGCGGGTCCTGAAAAACTTAGGAACCGAACGAGTCTTAAAATTTGAAAAAACGGGTACCCGGACCGAACCGTTTTAAAATATTATTTTAATAATCTCTAAAATATTTAATACTAGTATAATATAATATACTAACAACACACAAAATCTCTTCATGTTCTTGTGTTTAGACAAAGACATCCAATTAAAGAAACTTCTCAGTCTATTAAAACTAGTTCTTAGTCCGTATAATTAAACTCCTAAACTATTTTCGTCTATTCTCTATTCCAAATGCATCAAACTTTCTTTCTTTAATATTTTTTGTAAACAAAGACTCTTACTCAATGAAGTGTGGCATATTAATTTAATTGTCTTATTTTTACTTATAATTGGAGATTTAATAAGCTTTAAATTGTTTTAATAACAAATATGTATAGTAACTAGTTTAATTTCTTATGAATTTATGGTCATGTCTTTTTAATTGGTTTATGAATGATGATTACCATTTTATTTAAGTTGATTGTGTGTTGTTTAATTTATAGATTTGTGGTTCGATATTTTTTGTTAACTAATTTAATATGTTGTATTATTCTTTTATTTTGAATAAATAATATACTATGGTTACATTAATACGTAATTAATTTGCGAATTATATAACTTACTAGAAACTTTGCTTGCATATTCGTATTTTTTTTTTACAAAAAGGGAACCGAGGACTCGGGTTGAAACGATCCGTTTCAAACGGGGCGGGTAAGGTTTGGTTCCTGTTTTGAAAATTGGTATACCCAGACCGAACCTACCCGCTAAATGGAACCGGCGGTTCTTAAAAATCTATCGATTACCCGAACCGACCCGGACCGTGCTCACCCCTAATTAAAATTACCGCGTGAAAACGGTACCCCACATTCTATTACTTTTCCTGTCTTTTTAATTCTGTTATTTTACTTCAAATGTTACAATATTTTACGGAATATTGAAAAAAGAACATAACTATTATGTATAGTTCTATGAAATACATAAAATAACTACTTTTCACTTATTTCAAAGATATGACTACTAATCACTTGTTTAGTTAATCTAATTTGTTTCATTGTAATATATCCAACTCTGCCCCTTTCCCCCTCCCTCCTCCAGTCCTCCCCCACACGTGCCTAATCTCTGCCAGAAACCGCTACCCGAAACTGTCACTAGAAGCTACCATCGGAAAAGTTGTCGGAAAGAGTCGCCTAAGATGCACAATATTAGGGCCTTTTCATTTTAAGCCAAAAATTAATTTAGTGGTTCTAATTTATTTACATATGATATCAAGTATTAGTTTTAATTGTTTGATCATACTAAAAATCAATTGATGAATTAAATAATTCCAATCTATTGTAATCAATTCATTCCTATCAACAAAATTCTCAGTGGGTCACCTACCCTTAATTTTTCTTCCTCTTGCTCAATGAACGACAAAGTTCTAAATTAGAGCATAGTCATATCATTCATAAACAATAACTAAAGATCTCATTTGTAAATCTACCCGAAAATGCTTAAAGATCATGGTAAGTAAGAGGAAAACAATTTTTTTGTCACCCTTTTTTGAACGTACCACGACCTCCACGTTCTTGATGATTGGACGGGGTAGTGGTATCTTGTAGTGCTCCTAGCCCTTCGATCATCCTATTATTCCTATAGAAGATGTAGTGGTCTATCTTGGGTTGTAACACCCCGTCCCCACAGGATCCGAGACAGTTACTCCAAACATCTAGTATTGTCCTCATAAATCATTACGAGTCTTTACCGCGCATTTTGTCCTCACTCATGCACGCCCTGAGAAACTTCTCAGGGGGTCACCTATCCCAAGACTATCCACGTGCAAGCATGCTTAACTTTGGAGTTCTTACCTGATGAGCTCTAAGGAGATGCACCTCTATTGGTATGAGTAGTACTATTAATCCGTTTAAATTAAATCTTAAGTGTTACAGAGGCACTCCGAGATGGCGAAATATTTGACCTTGAGTGCTCTCATCAAACAAAAATCCTATCGTGCCCCCTCCTCATTGTTGGTGATGTCGTTTAGAGCTCCGTTCTAGGTTACCTATAGAGAAGGCCCTATATTGCTGACCTGGATAAGGCGGGGAGAAGGGACAGTACAATGGTGATTGCCCTGCCTTTGTCTAGGTTTGAACAGTGACATAGCTCGTTTCTTTATCTGTCATGGATGGTAATGCTCACCCTCTAATAAGGTGAGCATTACAACCCATCCGAATGTGGCAACAACCTCTATCATCGCCAAGTAGGTGTCCCCCAATGTTTATGCACCTCATACCACTCCTCATTTTAAGGAGAAGTGAAATGGGGGTGAGAAAAAGAAGACGATGAAAGACCAACATGTTGCTTTCTCTTGGAGGCCATAACTACGTGATTAAACAAAAGACATATACCACACCACATATATCATCAATGCAAGGTAATTTTCCAGAATTTTTCAAAACTTTCCCCCAAATTTCAAGTTCAATAGTTTAATAAAAAATATCTTACATCAATCACGTTTAGAAGGCTCTATACTAACACAAAATTATCTCAATATCATTTTAAACATTACTTGAAACAAGAATCTAACAATAAATAAAGATATTTCGAATCAAGAGTTCTTGAGAAAACATTTCAAGAACTTCACCCAATTATCAACTTTAATCTCAAAATTTTGGTAAGAATTATATTTATAGACATCATATGAGCACAACTAATGAACATCTAATAACAATTATAAACGTCAATCTTGCTAAACATTGAAGAGAAAGAAGGAAATGGAAAAGCGGAGAAAGTTTAGATTTGAAGAGAATATACTTCAACTTGAAGATGAAATGGAAGAATATGGATTCGTTGAGACCCGTGGTCAGTGTTTTGATGTCGTTTGAGGTTGTTTCCGGCCATGAGAGGGTTTTTTGGCAGCATTTGGGATGTTGGCCGTTGTTTTTAGCTCTCAAAAGAATTGAGCTAGCTCGTCTGCAATGGTTGCCAAAATTGTGACATGATGCACTTTAAAAAGCTGGGACCTGCACTAGTTAGGTCATGAAACCGACACCGATTTGTGTTGACAATCCTCTAATTCAGAATTGAAATGTAACCGATGCAAGTTAGGCAAAGGGACAATCGCCGGTTTTTCTAAATCCCAAATCAACAGTGGATCGAACAAAAACAGTAATCGTATGAAGAACGTGATGAACATATGATAATCAAACAACAACTTTATTGATATTCATAATGATGAACAAGATGAAGAACAAAATATCAATATAGTAGAGAGAGATGAGAGATCTTTGCCAATAATATGACAGTGATAAAATATGAAACTCTTAGGTATGTTCGCATACTACATCTTTATTTGTAGAGGTATTAGCGAACATCCTAGTTACAATAGGCCCTTAATTAATTGAAAAGCTCACTACTACCACAACTCTAGTTAATCAAAGAAAAATAAAATAAAATTGAGCACAATAAATAATGTTCCAATGTAACAATCTCCCCCTTTGGGTCAGTTTGCACTGAAGAGAAGTTCATCTTTGTGTCTTGTAGAGTGTCTTTCTACAGCCAAGAATTACTACATATTCTCTTATTCTTCTTCTGAATTCCAGCTTATCTTCAACGGCTTTTGCAAGATCTTTGACTCTATGATAATGCGCATAGCCGTCAACTGATTGGTCATACTTTAGGAGTTCTATTGAAAGTTCACCAAGATGATCTTCAATTATCTGCAGCAACCCATCATAATATTTATGAAGTTCACTATGTAAAAGGACACACCTCTTGCCTTTGTAATCCTTCTGGATCATCAGTTATTTCTCCTTCTTCAAAGTCTTCAATATTTGTGAATGTGTTCCTTGGAGAAGTAAGGCTAACTTTATGCATGTTACTCTCAAATGCAATTTGCAGGACATGCGCTCTATAGTAATTCACTTGACGGAGCATGTGTCTCATCATAGCATTGAGACCTAAATCTCGACCAGTCTCCCTAAGTGACACAAATCAATAGAGATAAAGAAGCTTGATCATGTCAACTGGAGCAACATGTGCAAAGTCAGGTCCAGAGATCCTTTGAATTGATCCTTCACATCTTTCAAACTCAATGATTAGATATTTAATTTTTCCACATCTGTGTTCTTCAACACTAATGATCTTCATGATTTGGTGTTCTGAGAGCCTTTTTGAGTTCTTTGTGAAGCGCATTCAGATCATCTCTATTTGCAGACATATTACTCGGCATATATAAGTACCCAACAACATCAGATCCTTTCAAATGTGAGAGTCCCTGGAGATCTAACTCAGAAAGTTTCTTGATATTAAACTCATGTCTCCAAATTTTTGGTCTCAGATCTTCTTGATAAGGAACTATGATCTTCACATTCTACCATGTGATCTTCATCTTGTCTTCAATCGTTGAAGCTTTAGGTCGTTTTGGAATGAGTTTGACGACTTCAAGAAAATCTGGCAGAGGATCATTGTAGACTTCTCCTTTGAGTTTCTATATATCTTCCAGCTGAATAGGTTGTTTTGCGCTTTCTTCTTGAATTCTCTGATGAAATCGAGTTTGCATTTAACTTTTTTATTGTTTTGTGTTAGCTTTTCTTTTTCTCCACTAATCACCCAGTCATCTAAAATATCATCTGCTTCTGAAGATCCTTTGATGAATGTCTTAATTAACGACAACTATAACAGATGATAATGATTGTTGCTCGAATGACACGAGCGTTGAATGCATGGATTGAGACATGAACAAGTAAACTAACTCCGTGGTCACATAGACTTCCCGTTATCATCACACTAGAGACAAATTCTTTTTTATGGCTTGAACACGATGGTGATTCATATGTTGCATCGTCAGGACTTCCTTCCAATCCCGGGACTACATCTGTAATGGATTAGCATATTGAAGTTCTCACGAGGACACACAGTCCTTGCTCAATTGATGATGGATGAGGTTGGATAACAGTAAGGGCTTGTGAAGGTGGGTTTGCAGTGGAAGGTGAAGGTGGTTGAGAAGATAATGATGGTTCAGAAAATTTAGTGGCGATTATGGATAGTGTTGTCTGCTCAAAAGTACGAATCCTCTTCTACCCCTGATGAGGATCTGAATCATTAGCATCATCATGCTTATGCTTGGGTTGTTATTTTTTTTATCCTTGCAAGTGGGTGAGGTGATAGGTAGGACATGGGCTAGGATGTCACAAAAAGTTATAAGGTGAGGTGGGGGGTCGGTTTTGCATAAGAGGCGATAATGGAAGAACTCAAAAAGTTTAGATAGAGGCATGTTATTAATGTTAGGATTAAGGGTGGTGGAAGGTGTAGGAGGTGGTAGGGTGGGAATAAAAATAGAAAGACTAGGGGTAACAGAAGTTGAAGGGGTTTGGTCAATAGTTTGGTCAATGGGTTGGTTGGCATGAGTGGGTGTGATCTTTGGTGTGGTACGGTTGTTTGGACTACAAACTGTACCTCATCAAGAATGGATAAGCGAAAGGCTCATAGAGCAAATGAAATTTCAGACCGTAGATCCTCCCTAGTAATGAACGAGTGTGAGGAAAAGGTGGACCTAAAAGTAGTATCCGTTGTCACAACAACCGTGAGAAGAACTAGGCGGTGGCTTGCTGGGGAGAAAGTTAAACATGTGGCAGGACTTCCAACCATCCTAGGCGTACCTTCGATTGCTGCTGCTAGTGATTACGAGCTGGTATTCAAAATGATAAAGGGGTTGTGTCCTACAAAATGGAAAAAACATCTGGGAGTGTGGACACAAGACCTAACATGCATACATATGCAGTGTGGGGCTGGTCATTGCTTGTAATGGGTTCCCCGTGTGAAGATGAAACAATTATCTATTAGGAGATAGCTGAGTGGTCAATGTTGGGTTGAACTTACGCCATTGAACTCGATGTGACGACTTCTACTTGGGAACTAACAACGTCGGAACCTTTACATATGGTTTGAGTTCTGGTTATTGTAGTGACTGATGGTGTCATAATGTTAGAGGAGGAGTCATCAGTACGTTTAGACCGAGTCTCACCTACCCTCCTTTTCTGCTTAGATGCAGTCGGGCCCTTACTAGCACTCGATTGAGTTCCTTGGATAGACACAGTGGGGATTGATTGCGTCATAGGAACAGAAGAAATGTGTACATTATATTCTATGATAGCTTCATCTGTAGGATCTGCCGAGTTGAGAAGATAATCGGGGATCGACATAGGCTGCATGGAGGGATCATTTACGGATTTCTTGAGATACAGTAGCTTGGGGATCTCATAGTTCTCGGAAGATGGTTTGGAAGGTATCTCGGGGAACTCATTTAAGCAATGATTAATCAACATGGAGAACCACCGTACATATGGGATGTACCCGGCCTTCTTTGTTGAATCCCTTATATTAATTTGTTTGATTATCTTAGATCAGAAGAGATGAGCCCAGTCATAGTTCTTCCCAAACATGACTCCATGGACCAGTTGGAGCATGTGAACATTGCAGTGATTAGGGGTGGGCCCGGTCCGAGACGGTTCGGGTAATATATAAAATTTTAAGAACTGCTGGTTCCATTTAACGGGTAGGTTCAATGTGAGTATACCCGCCCCATTTGAAACGGGCTAATTCGGTCCAAGTCCTCAATTCTTTTTTTTTGTAAAAAAAATACGTCTATGCTAGCAAAGTTTCTCAAAGTAATTAAGTATTAATGTAACCATAGTATAGTAAAAATTCAAAATAAAAATATAAAAACAACATTTTAAATTAGTTAATAAAATATCTAACCACAAATCTGTAAATTAATAAAATAAATAAAGTATCTAACCCAACCTTAAAATGAATTAATATCCTTACAGCCGGTGGGCGTAGCTCAACTGGTAGATATAGAGGGTGTCACAAGGGGCAAGTCTCAGGGTTCGAATCTCAGCAACTGCGATGAGAAGTTACTATGCTAAAATGCATAGAACCTCTGCAAGTATCAGGGTTAGAGCTTCACTCTCTATTTACCGGCCTGTGATTAAAGTCCAACTTATATCCTTCCAGTGAACTGTCCGGCCGGTGCTAGTGGGACCTAGGGATGAGATGTCCTCATTTTTTAAGGGATGAGATGTCTCATGGATGACTTTGTCCCTTCTATTTTTGGGCCTAGTTTGTTGGAGTGTTTGTGTGATATAGAGGGTGTCACAAGGGGGTAAGTCTCATGAGATCCACCGGTGTTTGGATCTGATTCTTAAAACTGATTCTGCTCCTTCAGGGAGCAAAAATAGAAGTTGGAGTGTTTGTGTGAAAGTGCAGAAGTGACTATGGTACTCTAATTTACTCCTAGAATCAATTTTTTTAGAAGCCATGAGTGACAAGCTTCTGAAAACTGGTTCTGATTCTACTTAATGAGTTCCAAACACCCTCAAAACCGGGTACCGATTCTTAAACAATAAAGGCACTATCTATCTTCCGCGAAAGTACAGAAGCACTGTAAGAACAGTGGCGAAGCCAGAAATCTATCATTAAGGGGGTCGGACCTTAAAAAGTTTACATTACAGGGGCCAAAATTTAAAATATCAACACATTTTCTATAGATTAAAAGTATTTATACATAATATATACTTAAGAATCTTTTCCCTTGCAGGGGCCGAGGCCCCCTCCAGCCCCTCCCTGTCTCCACCGTGTAAGAAGATCCCAATTCCCAGATTCTTAAACAATAAAGCTATGTTGTAAGACCCGAACCGGACCGGCCGGTTTGATCCGGAACCCGGTCAACCGGCCATCTGTCCGGTCCGGTTGAGTATCAACCCGGAAATATGGCCAAAATCGGAAAAAACCCGTTGACCCGCTTGAACCCGCGACGGACCGGACCCATCTGAGACTCGGAAAACGCGGAAAAACCGGAAAATATGTTGCCCCACAGATTCGAACCGGCGTTGTCCCCTTCGATTGTTGATCTGCTAACCGACGTGCTACACTAGGTACTTGGGCATTATGGTTGTTTGTGCTTTGTTATACTACATCATCCTGGGATATATTTAAGTCTTAACTAATTAGTTAATTAATCAATTAATTCATAATAAAAATACTAAAAAATACACATCAATACTATTATTATACTTCCCAATTATGTATATAATTAATAATTAATTGGTATTTTATTACATTCGTATGTACCATTTTGAACTGCACCATCTTTGTTAAGCATTGAATATTAAATATGTAGTATTACTTTACTAAAGAATTCACAATAATAGTAATGCATATACACTCATTCTTGTATTATTTAGGGTTGGTTTGCAACTGCTTTTAAAAAAGCACTTCTCAACTTTTGGCTTTAAAAAACACTTATTTTCCCAAACACTACAACTTTTATTTTTCTCGGTTTCCGCGTCAAAAGTGCTTTTACTTTTTCTATTACACAAAAAGCACTTATTTTACCAAACACTACCCACTTTTACTTTTTAAAATCACTTTTTTCTCAAACACTATCAACTTTTATTTAATCACTTCTTCCCATTTCATTAAAAAAACACTTTTTTAAAAGCAAAAGCTGTTGCAAACAGAGCCTTATACTTCACATCATGTTTAATCCGTATTATATTTCATATTTCACTTAATGTGAAAATATATCTCTATTATATTTTTAAGAATTTGTAATTAATGTCATATCTATATATTTTATCCATCTACATGCAAATCTATTTTAATTTTTGTTAAAACCAACTCTAAAATAGTGATTTCTTAATTGGATTGTATTGTCTCATCATTATTAATTTATGAATGAGTAACATTTTCTACATATAAATTATATATATGTATGAATATTAATTATCATATATGTGTGTGTTGATCAGGTTTTTCGGCCGTTGACCGGGCTGACCCGCCGGGTCCGGGTTGACCCTTGACCCGACCATCCCTTCTGGTCGCTCTCCCGTCCTATTTTTACAACACAGCGATAAAGCGATAAAGGCACTATCTATCTTCCGCGAAAGTACAGAGGCACTGTAAGAAGATCCCAATTCCCAAAGTAGTTCGTGGAAGAAGCTTTCTGCTCGACATTGGAATGCTAAAGGGAGCCAAGCAAAGCCCAGAAAATCTCGAAACCAGAGGGTAGTAATGGGGTTCACTATGGGTCTGAATATGGTTCTTCTGTTGGCTATGGTAGCCACCAACATCCTCTCTCTCTACCATCTCTCCTCCAACATCCAATCTAAGTCCCCTGCCCCAGCAGTCACTCCGGTGCCTGACCACCTCCTCCGCCAGCTCCAGACCATACGCGCCACCATCAACCACCTCACCTCTCTCCACCCGCCCACTCCTCCATCCTCCAACAAGAAAGCTTCCCCTGCCATTCCCTCCGATCTTCTCCTCTACGCCCATATGTCTCCCATAGCTTCTGCTTGCAAAGACTACCCTGATTTGCTCCACCAGTACATGAATTACACCCCCTTCCACCTCTGCCCCTCTGATTCTTCAATCTCCGAGTCTTTGATTCTCCGCGGGTGCCACCCTCTTCCTCGCCGGCGATGCTTCTCCCGGACCACCGCAGTGACTCCCACCTCCCTCCCGAAAAACCCGTTTTCCGGTTTGCCGGACAATGCTGTCATTTGGAAGAACTACGACTGCAAGAGCTTCAGCTGCTTGTCCAAGTCGAACCCTGGATTAGGATTTGATATGAAATTGGAGCAATCGAAGTTCTTATCGGCCAAATCAGATCTGGATCTGTCAATTCCACAACTACTCCAGATCGCTAAGTCTGCGAAGAGTGTGATTAGGCTGGGGCTGGACATAGGCGGCGGGACAGGCACCTTTGCGGCCCAAATGAAGCTTCAAAATGCCACGGTGGTGACGACCACCATGAATCTCGGAGCACCCTACAATGAGGCGGTGGCACTGAGGGGGATGGTCCCACTGCACGTGCCGCTGCAGCAAAGGCTGCCGGTGTTTGATGGAGTGATGGATGTAGTGAGGTGTGGGCACGCCGTGAACAGGTGGATTCCGGTGACTATGATGGAATTCTTGTTCTATGATGTGGATAGGGTGTTGAGAGGTGGTGGGTACTTGTGGTTGGACCATTTCTTCAGTAAAAGATTGGATCTTGAGAAGATATATCGGCCTATGATCTGGAAGTTAGGGTACAAGAAGGTGAAGTGGGCTGTGGCAAATAAGACTGATTCAAGTGGTGTGAAGAACCAGGAGGTGTATTTGACAGCCCTTCTTCAGAAGCCGGTGTCGAGATGAGACGTAAATGTTGAGGTAATATTGATCCTTTAGCTTGAAATGACATTCTGAGTAATCTTTATAAACTGCTTCAATTAAATTTGTTAAATGAATGCTGAAATGCTGGATTCAGACTAGAACTTATGGAAGTTCATAAATTTAAGAGTGTCTAGATCTTGATTTTTTTGTAGTGGCATAAGATATGCAGTGTAGATGCATCCAAACTGAACTTGTAGATCTATGACCTGTTCTCTTGCCTGAATACATGCTATCTGATCTGGAATTTTAAGATATTGGTGGGTCTGATTTTGGTAATGTCGAATATGGATGTTTATGATCTGCTTTTTTTGTCGTGAATATTTCTGGTTAGATTAAAATAACATTGAGCAGAAGCAAAAATCAAGGTGTAAAGAACAACCTAGTCCGTAGGCATTATCTCATAGGGGAGAGAAGGGGAGATGTATTTTTTTAAATTATTTCTACATTTGGAATGCATTGACCTACAGATCACATACATATTTATAGTCTAGAAATAAAAAATAGAGGTAGATTAGTGTAATAATAATCAATTCTCCCCTCCCCCCCTTATTCCATCCGAAATCCCCAATACAATTTCTGGAAAACTGAAACGCACAGACATGATGATAAATTTGTTGCTCACATCCTTATCCATACAAAGCTATACAAACTGAGCCATTATTGACAGAGATTCCTGCTACTTCCATGGATGCATTGGGCTGTAGTTTAGCAGAATTGAAAACAAATGGATGTAAAGTTAGAGCGAAACAAGTGGTTAATGCAAGCATCTTTCTCTACCCAAACCCTAATTCTGAAAATCAGTTGCTACCAAAACACCTGAAAGCTACTCATTCTAACTCGCAATTTTATGAAGGAATGAAGATTTTACTATAGAAAATCACAACGTTGGGTAACAAGAACAAGATGAATACTCCGGCAAGATCCCGAACAAAAGGGAATTTTAGACATAACACAAGTGATTACTTCAATATGCTGGTGACATAGGGAAGAGAGGATTTGATGAAACCTCTTGTGATATTTGTACTGGTACTTGTGTTTAAAGTAAAGGGATTATTTTGGAAAGGTTAACATGAAGTTCTCATTGTACCAGAATAACGCATATCTGGAATTAAACGGGAAGAATATGAGTAAGTGGGATGAACAATATGATTTTTTTTGCTCAATTTAATAATGATCGAGTTATATCCCATTGTATATTTAAGTCAACTGATCATGATAAAATTTGATGCATTACTTCAATTGCCGAGGGAAAATGTAGGAATTTTCCCAGTTTTCTGGTTCATATTTACTACCCTAGAATACATTGTCCTTGCTACTATAGGATATGTTTTGACTTTCAGAGTTGACCCTAAATAGAGTAAAACCAACGTGCATTTTCAAGATAAGAGTACATCATTTGTACTCCTATTTTGGGACATTCTCCTTCGGCTTTTTATACAGTCAGTGTCATTCAAAAAATTGGAATTGAATTTGGTATTGTAATCCAGTCTTAAACGTGGTGGTCAACATATAAACTAAGTGTATGGTTGGCATAAGGTCAAGAGTTTGGATGCTAAATACGAAGTAGTTAATACTTAATAAGCACTTGGTGGAGCATATATGTTATGGACTTATACTTTCAACTCATTGCTCCTATGCTCATTGTTACTTACCAAACAAGGTCTACAATAAATATTGGACCTGTAAAGTTACTTGGTGAATGTTGAAAATTCTCTTTGCTTGTTTGGCAGGGGCTACTACTATCACTGGCTACTGCAATGACAAAACTCATTCCCTCTCAATGTTCATTCAGTCTATCACGGAGTTTCTTTCCTGTCGATTTTGAAGACCACTACTGTCTTAATTTGGCACCGAATTTAGGTGAATTTCGCAGTTGCGGCTGATAGAAGGGTGTTTCAGATTGAAAAAAAAAACAGGGTGTTTCAGATTAGTGAATGGAGGGGAAAAGTACTGCGTGTTAGAGGCATCCAATCTCCTTTCTTCATTTTAAGTTTTTCACGAGAGGGAAGGGGGTGTGAGCTGTTCTTCACCAGAAGTAGGCCTGGCCTCGGGCCGGTTCGGGCCCGGTTCGGGCCTGGGCCCGGCCGGGCCTCGGTTCGGTAATGTAAGGCCCGGGCCCGGCCCGCCTGTGAGCGGGTGACGGTTCGGGCCGGGTGACCCGGCCGGGCCCCGGGTCGGGTGAACCGGCGGGTCGGGTCGGGCCTAGAATTTTTTTTTTTTTTTTATCTTATATTCTTATACATCTACTTGGAATCTTGAATATTAAAATTATTTAAAAACAATCTTGAAGTACATTTATGTGAAATAAGTAATAAGTACATTTTGAGAATTGAGAACAATTAATTCTAATACATTTTCTATTAAGTAATAATAATATAATATAATTAAAAAATGCGACATATAAAAAAATTTAACTTTTATTGATTTGAATTTTGAAATATGAACTACAAATCTACAAGTTCACAAATTACAATAGAGAATTGAGGATAAAATAAGAAATTGTAAAATACTAATCAATCGGAATCCCCGGCATAGGTAGAACCACCATCGGTTGATTCATCCATAAAGTCTTGGGAGGGGATGAGGCTAAGTTCTTGAGTTCTACGTCTTGCCTTCAACCAATCGTGGTAGCATATAAGTGTCTCAAGAGATTCGGCACTCAAACACGTTCTCGATTTAGTTAGGACGTTGCCGGCCGAACTAAATTCTTGTTCCACGGCAACTGTTGAAACCGGCATTGATAGTACTTGCTTAGCCATCCGTGCCAAAATCGGGAACGTTCTTTCTTTTGACTTCCACCACTTTAGGACGTCAAAATCTTCATTTTCTACAAACTCAACCTCATAGTTAATATACAAAGCAATCTCATTAATTGTGCTTTGTTCAGTAGTGTGCGTTGTTTTAGCTTTTTTCATAAGATTGCCAAATGCAGATTTAAAAAAACCTTTTCCTTTAGATGAAGATGTTTGGGTTGGGGGAGGGGGCATGTTGCCATATTGTGCACGAAACTCATTAAATAAAGAATAAAATAAACTACTAACCTCGTTGTATTCAGATTGCGGATCTATAGGGTTATCTTCATACATTGGAAAATCACCATAAAAAGATTGATAATAGAACTTGTAACATTGTTCCAAATTACCAAGTCGATAACGAGGATCGAGAATAAAAGCAATACCATAAATATGTGGAATATGTGAATAATATTTTAAAAACTTTTCCTTCATAAAAGTACAAAAATAGCTCACATAATCGGCATTTTGAAATTCATTAAAAGCACCGGCGAGATTAACAAGTTCACGCATAAATTCGTTTGAAGTAGGTTTATAAACATGACTAAAACTTTCAGTTGCATTATTAAAAAATATCAAAACATTACAAATTTTTTCGCAAGTGTCGATGTGAGCAGAGTTTAAAATGTAGTTATCATATTCTTTTAAAAAAGCAGGAAAATGTTCTTTATATCTAATAAGAACTCTAATTAATTTATAAGAACTATTCCACCGAATAGACAAATCTTTAGGAAAAGCAACATATTTCACATTTCTTTCATTCAAATAATTTTTTCATTTTAATTTAAGTTGACCATTAGCCCAAATACGTCTAATCCCCCCCTTCGCTACCTCCATAGCATCTCCCAACGCTTTTAGACCATCCTGCACACATAAATTTATTATATGGCATGCACATCGTTGATGAAAAAATCTACCCATCAAAGTAGTAGCACCACACAATTCACGCAATCTAGGTATAGCAGCAGTATTATTAGTAGCATTATCAAAACCTATAGCAAACACCTTATGAACCAAATTATACTCAATTAAAATACGCTCAATCAAAATATAAATATGTTCGGCGGTGTGACGATCATTAAATTCACGAAAAGCAAGAACACGTTTATGCATATTCCAATCATCATCGACATAATGTGCAGTCAAACCCAAATAATGTAAATTATGATAGGTGTCCTCCCATATGTCAGAACAAACAGTAACACGTCCATCATAGTTTGCAAAAAAATTTTGTAAGTTCAACTTTTCCGCCTTATAAAGCCTTATAATTTCTTTTTTAACCGTTTTTTCGACTATAACTTCGAAATTGAGGATTTAAACAAGTTTGTGCATACTCTTTAAAAGAAACACTTTCAGAAAACAAATAAGGTAAATTTTCTTCAACTATAAAGTTAGCCATACCAGTCAAATTTTGTTGATCATTGTATGAGAAATTACCATAAGGTTGGTTATTTGCAAACCTCGATATTTGTGTTTGCTTCCCCTTGCCTTTCTCAATTTTTGCGTACTCCACCTTGTGCTTGCCCATAAGATGCCTTTTGAGGCTCCCGTATCCGCCCGAAGTTCCCAAACTGTACACCTTATCGCAATGGTTGCAACTTGCGTACCATTTCTCGGTGCTTGGGTCTTTATACTTTTTAAAATTATTTTCTATAATAGGAGATTTAGATTTCGTACCTATTTGGGATGAACCACCCTCGTCACCCTCGTGGTCCGCCGCTTGCTCCTCATCCGGGGTGCCGTGACTCCCGGCGCCCCCCGCGTCCTCCTCCGGATCGTCATCCTCGAGCTCTTCTTCGTCAATGGTGTGAATATCGTCCGGGAGGACCGGGATGTCTCGTTGATGGAAAAATTGAGGATTTTGAGCCAATAGTTGTTGTAGTTGCTCGTCGGACATTCTTTCGCCATCTCGCTGTTGGTATTCCGGTTCGTCCTCCCATCCACTTTGAGAAGAAGATCCGGACTGCCCGCTTTTTTTGCGCAAACTAGGATGAGTTCTCGCAATCTCCTTCTTTCGGTTGCGTTGGAGATTTCCGATATCCAAAGAATGTCTACCGCGCTCCATCTTAACAAATATAAAAGTATATCAAATATTTTAATATGTATAAATTTACTAGGTGTACACTTTAATGAATAATGCAAAAACTTAACTAGTTTTATACTTTAATTAAAATGTCTAAATTTACTAGGTGTACACTTAAATGACAAATGCAACAAACTAACTAGTTTTATACTTTAATTAAAATGTCCAATTTTACTACTTGTACACTTTAATGAATAATGCAACAACTTAACTAGTTTTATACTTTAATTAAAATGTCCAATTTTACTACTTGTACACTTTAATGAATAATGCAACAACTTAACTAGTTTTATACTTTAATTAAAATGTCCAATTTTACTACTTGTACACTTTAATGAATAATGCAACAACTTAACTAGTTTTATACTTTAATTAAAATGTCCAAATTTACTAGGTGTACACTTTAATGAATAATGCAAAAACTTAACTAGTTTTATACTTTAATTAAAATGTCTAAATTTACTAGGTGTACACTTTAATGACAAATGCAACAAACTAACTAGTTTTATACTTTAATTAAAATGTCTAAATTTACCACTTGTACACTTTAATGAATAATGCAACAAATTAACTAGTTTTATACTTTAATTAAAATGTCTAAATTTACTAGGTGTACACTTTAATGAATAATGCAACAACTTAACTAGTTTTATACTTTAATTAAAATGTCTAGATTTACTACTTGTACACTTTAATGAATAATGCAACAACTTAACTAGTTTTATACTTTAATTAAAATGTCTAGATTTACTACTTGTACACTTTAATGAATAATGCAACAACTTAACTAGTTTTATACTTTAATTAAAATGTCTAGATTTACTACTTGTACACTTTAATGAATAATGCAACAACTTAACTAGTTTTATACTTAAATTAAAATGTCCAAATTTACTACTTGAATATAACGCCATTAATGGATAAAAGAAGAGAAGAATACCTTGGTCACCAAGGCTTGGTGGATTGGCCGATTGGTTGATGATGAATAGGGAGAAGATAATATATGTATGTAAAGTAGATAATTAGATATCAAATTATCTACTTTAAGAAGATAGTAAGTATATATTAACTATTAAGTAGACAATAAATATTAGTAAAGTACTATATGTATATGTAAGTAGATAATAAATATATAAGTAGATATAATATATTAATAATAAGTAGAAATTAAGTAGATAAGGAATATAAGTTATATAATATATATATATATATATATATATATATATATATAAACTAGCTAATTATAAGATAATAAATATATATTAAGTAGATAATAAATATTAGTAATGTAATATATGTATATATAAGTAGATAATTAATATATAAGTAGATATAATAATATTTATATAAATAATATATATGTAGAGATAAATTGGAGAAGAATAGAAGATGAAGATGAAGATGAATGAAGATTTTAGAGATTGAGAGAATAGAGAATTAGAGAGTAGAGAAGGTGTAAAAAATGTATAGAAAATAGGAGTATAAATAGGTTTTTTTTTCTCCCCCCACCCCCCAACCCCCCCCCCCCCCACCCCCCTCCAACGGCTATAGAGCCGTTTGGAGGCTCCCTAACAGCCCCAACGGCTACAAAGACCAAGACCAAGCCCCAAAAAAATTTGAAAAAAGAATTTTTTTTTTTTTTTAAAAATTAGCCGTTAGGCCCGGACCGGGCCCGGCCCGGCCGGGCCGGTTCAAGAAAATAAAGGCCCGGGCCCGGACCGCCCTACACCCGGGCCGGGTAGGCCCGAACCGCCTGTGGCCCGGTGGACCGGGTCGGGCCGGTTGCTACAGTGAGCGGGCCGGGTCGGGCCCGGTTCGGTCCGCCCGGCCCGAGTCCAGGACTAACCAGAAGGGCAGAAGGTCCAGAGCTAAGCTATGCTATTATATTATGCTATCTCATTTTTTATTTCTTTTTATATAGAAAGTGAAAAACACAAGGAATTCTCACTGAAATATGAAAAAAGAATTATTTAGTTGATAATTTGATATTGTTGCTGTCTGAATACATTTCTATCACAAATTTCACTTTCTTAATTCCGGTGCCAAAAGTGAAAGTTTTTATGGGCTGGAGCCCTAAGGCTAGAAGCCTAGAAGTTTCAAATCCATTCTTGCCTTTTAATTCATAATTCTTAAAAACAAACAAGTGATCTAATGATGGTCTGGAACACCAATGTTGGAGAAAAGTATGGATTTGAACCAGCAACTTATTTAGGAACTTGAATCCTCAAAAGACTCTGCACATCCAGCCTATCAATCTTCGTAGCAAGTATGAAATCATTTTCTGTAAGTCCATCTGCATAAAAATATATGAAGACCATATCATAAATCCCGCTGTTCTAAAAATATATCTAAAAACACTAGACGGGCAAAGGATTGGGTTCCTATTGTCTACTCAGGGTCAGACAAAGGTATGGGTGGACCGGTTCCGGTTCGGGCCCGG